CTAATTTTTAATAAATTTATCATTTGTGGTGTATATTTTGAAACAAATAAATGTATTAATATAATTTATAAATTTATATATAATTTTGAATATATATTTTGATTTAAATATTGTTGTCATGTTTTTTTAACAAATACAAATGTTTTTCCCAGTTGCACTTTGTCAGCCTGCTTAATGAAAATCTTAATCTTAGTCATTAACTAATGATGCTGAAAATTCAGCTTTGAATCAGAGGAATAAATTACATTTTATGAAATATTAAAATAGAAACAGTTGTTTTAAATGGTAATAATATTTTACAATATTACTGTTTTTTACTGTATTGTTCATCAAATAAATTCAGCCTCTGTGAACATAAGAGACTTCTAAAACATTTGAAAAAATCTTTAAACAGTAATATATAAATATTAAGATTTTGCATCTGGATGGTGCCTATGCTCTCCATACGCAGCTCACTAGGTTTTTGATTCACACACACACACACACACACACACACAAGTTGACAGATAAATTTGGGTCAGGCACGTAATATGCTGTCACTGTGTTTACAGGAAGCTTTTCAGGGTGTCTCATTAATTAACCGAGTTAAAATAACTAAAAATAAAATGTTCTCAGCAGGAAGGTTGTCTTGCGATTTATCACATAAACTCAGGTCACAGAGATCAGATGCAGTTCACTCACGCTTTGATCTGTGATTGACCACGCGGGGTTGCCATGGTCACCATTGCTCTCCATATGACGGACCTTATGGGGCTCGAGGAGCAGGTCTAGGAGTTCAATCCCAGAATAAGCCTGAGATATAGAGGAAAGATGAGAAGTTGAAGGAAATGGGGAAACAAAAACAAATGCAAGTCACATCCTAAGTTGCTTTCACACATGAAACCTCGTAAATTACTGTAAAGTTACCAGATTGACTTGGTAAATACACAAATATGCAGTTCATACAAGCCACGGCGTTCTGTTTTATTACCTTTAGGATACCATTCACACATCAGAACCAAAATACTCATCAGCTTTGTGATGTCAGTCAGCAAAATGACCTTTAAATGCTGCACCATTTTCCTTATCTGTCAGGCTGAGGAGAAGGGCTTTTCACACTTCAAATAGTTAACTCTGGCTCATTCTAAACCTTGGGTAAATAGAATCCTGGGTTATCTTGTTTCACGTTTCACACTGTTTATATTTTACATGGGGTTGCCAATTAATCCTGAACTCTTTAAAGGTTCTTTGCACATACAGGTGCATCTCAATAAATTAGAATGTCGTGGACAAAATCATCACAATTAAAAGAACCAAAGACTTAAACTACTTCAGTCTGTGTGCATTGAATTTATTTAATACACGAGTTTCACAATTTGAGTTGAATTACTGAAATAAATGAACTTTTCCACGACATTCTAATTTATTGAGATGCACCTGTACACTTAAAAATGAAGGCTGTTTTCACAGTGATGCCATAGAAGAACTAGTAAAAGAACCTTAAAAGAACCATTTTTATCTAATGTAAAGAACATTTTGTAACTGAAAGATCCCTTTTCCAGCATAAAGCACTTCTTGTGGAATGGAAAGATTCCATGGATGTTAAAGGTTCTTCATGGAACCATCAATGTGTAACCCAGGCAGAGCCGATCCTCCCTATACGCAAGCTGCGTAGGGCCCCCGAAACACCAGGGGGCCCCCTTGCTCTCAAAGATGATTTAATTTTAGTTTCGTTTTTTAATTTGGCCAGCGGTTATGAAAACATGAATGATAATTTCTTTTAATGTGGTGCGCTGTCGCCCTTTCTACATAAAAATCAGTCAAATCATGTAATGTGAATGTCGTACAGTCTTGCTCGAGACTAAAAAAACAAGTTGAAAGCGTACCGAGCCGTGGAAGAGACATTGTTTCTCAAGCCCCCAGTTCAGAAATGAGCTGACTAAAAATAATGATAGAAAATAGAACAAATATAATTTGCAATAATTATATTTTCAATAAAACAAAAACTGAAAAGGAAGTGTTAATATGTTGTATTAATGTTTTGAAGCGTTTATGCGAGTTTGTATGCATTTAGTGTTCAGATGTCATGTATAATGTATAATGTAGCCCTCTTTGTGAAACCAGGCCTATGGCGTTCGACAGGGAGAAACTCCGCCCACTTGAGAACGCTTGGCCGCGCTTGTGCTGCCGCTTCACGCCGGTATCTGTTTGTTGCTTGTTTGTCGCTACGTTTTTGGATATGTTTTTGCTCGGATTTGGCAGATCTGGATTATTTTCTGGACGACTCTCTTCACTCAAAAAATTTTTGGATGACTGACCTGGCATTTTTTGTGATCCTGTCACGCTGATCGGCTGCAGGCCCTCTCCAGTCCTTTCCATTTCCTCTTCGACATCTGATACAGTGAGTATACACTCTCTTTATCATTTGTGGTATCAATCCTCGGTATGGTCGGCTAGCCTTCCCTTCTGTGGGTTGTGGAATTGGTACGTTTCTGGCTAACGCAGTTAAACCGATAAGTTGCTGTGTGGGGTCCCATTGGTCTTTGGTCATGTCACCGTGTAATTATTGCAGATTTTGTTCTCTGGTCTTTTTGTGCTGTCTCTGGCTACCGTTAATCAAATGACTTCTCCTGAGATGGCTCTACAATACTCTGCTGCTCAGCTTAGATCTCTAAAAGGATCTTTTCGCTTGGCTCTTTGTGTTACACCTTCTTCATCCGGCCGCAATCTTGGTGTTTTATTTGACTCAACTTTATCTTTTGACTCTCATATTTCCACTGTTGTTAAAAACTCCTTCTTCCACCTCCGTAATATTGCACGTCTGCGATCTTCTCTTACTCTAGCTGATAGTGAATGCTAGGCCATCCATACCTGATTCACTCACTGCTTGTATCAGGGATATCAAACATTGGATGTCCCTGAATTTCCTTAAATTAAATAATGACAAAACTGAAATATTGATGATTGGCTCTGCTACGCCAGTGAAAACGATGGACCTGCCCTTTGACATTGATGGGATTTGTGTTATACCTTCTTCATCTGTCCGAAATCTTAGTGTTTTATTTGACTCAACTTTATCTTTTGACTCTCATATTTCCACTGTTGTTAAAAACTCCTTCTTCCACCTCCGTAATATTGCACGTCTGCGATCTTCTCTTACTCTAGCTGATAGTGAAATTTTAATTCATGCTCTAATCACATCACGGCTGGATTATTGCAATTCTCTATTTGCAGGCCTTCCCAAAAAATGTATGGCAAGATTACAGTATGTTCAAAATTCTGCAGCAAGAGTCCTTATCTCCACCAGATGTTCTGCTCACATTACTCCATTACTGCATGATCTTCACTGGTTACCTGTCGCATCACGTATCCACTTTAAGTTACTGCTTCTAACATTTAAGGCACTAAATGGTCTTGCACCACCATATCTGGCTGAGCTACTCCACCCATACTGCCCTGTCCGGTCTCTGAGATCTTCTGAACTTGGCCTTTTGTCCATCCCTCGTTTTCGGTTGGCTACTGCAGGTGGAAGGTCATTTAGTGTTAATGCTCCTAAATTATGGAACTCACTACCCCTCACTCTCCGTACCATCCCATCTTTGACTGTTTTCAAGAGTCAGTTAAAAACTGTTAAAATCTGTTTAATATGTACTTTGGATAACGGCTATATGTTGTATATGTGTTCATATTGTATTTGTACTGTGTCTATATTGCTTTTGTGGATGTACTACTTGTTATATGTAAAGTGACCTTGGGCTACGGAAAGGTGCTGTATAAATAAAACTTCTTCTTCTTCTTCTTCTAATGTATAATGTATTGTAACTGTGTATTGTATTTCTGAAGAGCTTAAAAATGCTAATCAGCGGATGATTATCATTTATGTAACTGATTTCTTATGTATTAAGTGACAAAAGTGCTCAAATAGTATTTTTTCAATCAGTTTGAGTTTATGTATGAAAGATATATTGAGTTTAACAGTCATGTTAATTGTCTGTGATGTTGTGACGCTGTTTGTATAAACAGGTCAGGTTTTTTTCGAGACTGACTTGAGCTGTGATCCTGAGATGGAGAGCCACCCAGCTAGAGAACCCTGAGGAAGACAATTAGAAGAAAATCCTGCGACTCAAGTGATCAGTGCCTTATCCATTATCACAAGTGGAATTCATCCGTTCCTAGTGGGATTTCTCACCAAATTACCTCAACACTGATCATCATCACACTAACTGATTTTTTGCACTATTGAACATTTTGCTCTACAAACGTTTGCACTACACAAGGAGACTCTTGTGTTCATTGGATTCATCGTTTGGATTCAAAGGACAGTTTTTTCCCCACGTTTAATCTTATTCTATAGACAGAACTTTTCATATACAGAATTTGAGTGTAGTACTATTTTAGTTTGTTATTTTCCTGGAGTGATTTATTGTAATTGTAAAAAAAAAAAAAAATTTCTGTTGTGGGCCAGAGGTTCTAACTCAAACCAGTAACAAAATAAGCAAAGCTCTAAAAAAAAACTGGAAAAAGGTTAGAGAAAAAATAAATCAATAAGAAGGAAACAAACCAAAAATAAATAAAAAAAATAGAAGTAGTTAAATATTAAAGGAACAAATATAGTACAATAAAAACATTTAAATCAAATAACTACAAAGGAGCTCAAAACCTAATTTCTGAAAAAAGACACGTGTGAGATTAAGGGGGTCATTCTGAGGAGAAAAGAATCTTCTTAAAAATAAAGCTTTCAAAAGAGTGTTTTTGTATCAATGCCATAGAAGAACCATTTTTGATTCCTCGAAAGAACCTTTCAGTGAACATTTCTTAAAAGAACCATTATTTTCTTAGTGTAAAGAACATTTTGATGCTCTAAAGAAGCTTTGTCCACTATAAAAAGCCTTTTGTACAATGAAAGTTTCCTTGGATGTTAAAGGTTCATGGAACCATCAATGTTAATAAAGAAACCTTATTTTTAAGAGTGTAGAGGCTTTCTTATAGACACTATTTGCCTGCTGTGTAAAAGATAAATGTCTGTCAATCTCAGTGCCCAAATATGTAAAGGCCTCAACCTGCTCCACTACCTGCCCCCCCAGCTTAAGTGGTTCAGATAGAGGACGATCAGTGTTAAATGAACGAAACCTTATCAATGCCATAGAAGAACCATTTTTGGTTCCTCGAAAGAACCTTTCAGTGAACATTTCTTAAAAGAACCATTATTTTCTTAGTGTAAAGAACATTTTGATGCTCTAAAGAAGCTTTGTCCACTATAAAAAGCCTTTTGTACAATGAAAGTTTCCTTGGATGTTAAAGGTTCATGGAACCATCAATGTTAATAAAGAAACCTTATTTTTAAGAGTGTAGAGGATCCCCCCCCCCCCCACACACATTTTTTGTGATACATAGAAAGCACCCAGAGCACCCTGCAACACTGTGGTGACCACTCAGATTTTCTTCAGAAGATGTCTTTGTTATTTCTGCATGTCTGGGGTCCTGAATGTAAACTTACCTTCACATTTTATAAAGAATGAGGCAGGAAGCTGCTCTGACTGTTAAAGTTTAACCAGGTCCATTGTACTGGCCTGCAATGTTATTATTAGTACTGTAGCACAGAGAATTAAAAAAAAAACTGTATTATCTATCAACCAGTGATAGAAATTTATCTTAGGAAAAAAGGCTCACATGTACACAATTCACAATAATAATGCACAACAATAATACACAATATTAAGACAAAACTGTTTGGCCTTATTCAGAATAGAAATTGCAGTAGGAATAAAATAATTACTATAAGCCTTCTTTCTAGTCAAAGGAGTTCTAAACCG